CGGTGGATCCCCACAATAAAAACCAGGAGGGGAATTTGGGCAACAACCCCAGGGAGCTTCCCCAGGGAGGTTCAGGCCAGACGCCCCCCAAAAAACAGAAAGTATTCACCGGGGAAGGATTGGAAACAGGGACCCACCCACCAGGGGGGTTCCCGGGTTACTTTTACTTCGGAGGGGGGGGTGGCCCACACAATTTTGGGGGGGAGGGACAATTTATTGGGTCGGGGTTTTTTTCGGGAAGCCGAAATTAAAAGCAATTGGGGGGGATTTTCTTTTTCCTTCCCATCCGCGGGCCCCTTTTAGGAAACACCCCCCTGACTCCCAGGGGAAGGGGGGGGGGGGGGGGGCTGAGTAAACACACACAATTGCAACATAGACATGGTAAGCTTACGCCAAAAACGCGAAATCACGAGCCGATCCACACAAGACTTTTCTCTCGTACGGCAAGCCTGCCTGCCTGCCTGTGAGAGGTTGAGGGCCGTCGCGTACCGCCGTTTTCATCAACAACTACCGTAAGAGGGGAGAGATGGCACGTCCCCGAGACCGATTTTCAAAGCTCGATTGCTCCACACCCGAAGTTCGTGCCAACACCGAAAAGGTCGGTTTTGGAAACATCTCGTCGAGGGGCTCTTTTCCGTGCCCCATTGGTTGTGAGGACCAATCGAGCTTTGAAATCCGGTCTATAGGGAGGGGTGTCATCTCTCTGCCTCCAACGGTACACCTCCGATTCTCCAAGCTACAAAACACGAGCTTCGCGTGTGACTCGACTACTGCTGTTGCCCATGACCTCTCCACAGCGTGTGCGTGTGCATGAAATCTGTGGCCGAGGTAGAGGGTTCAGCGGCGTTCCCCTACAACGGACATGAGCTGCGACTAAACACAGCTCTTTGCACTCAAAAAAAAAAAAAAAGAGGGCTTCGCACATGAGAAACCGCACTTTTAGTACTTTACGTCACTCATAACTCTCGCAACTTGCGCTCATGGGTCCCAAAATACCAAGACGCCACGCGTGTATGAAACGCAACCGAAGAATACAGGTTGCGAGGAAGACAGTGGGAGAGATGATATGAGAAAATAGGTACGAAGAGGTGGATCTGGTCCCACATGAACAAAGAAAACGTCTATACCTGGAACGTGAGCTCGAACGAGAAAAAGCACGGCCAAAAAAAAAGGCGTACAGGTGTACCTGGAACCTGACAGCTCGAAGGAGAAGCGGTCATGCAATCGTGCAAATATCACAACATAAACAACGAAAACAAACGGGGTACAACCGTGTACCTGGAACTTGAGCTCGCAGGAGAAGGCCGCGGGCTCGGCGGCGTTGCCCTCCGCCAGCTTGAGCACCACGTACGCGTGCCCGGTGTCGCCGCACTTGAGCTCCGGCAAGGCCACGCTCGCCTCCACCTCGTACAGGTCGGGGTCCGACTGCTCCACCTCTACTGTCACGTTGCGCAGCATCTAGGGGGGGGGGGGGGGGGGGGGGGGGAAAAAAAGGAAAAAAAAGGGGGGGGGAACCGGGGAAAGGAAGGGGGGAACCCCCAAACCGGGGGGGGGGGGGGGGGGGGCCCGGGGAAAGGAGAAGGGGGGGGGGGGGGGAAAGGGGGGGAAACCCCCCGCCCCCCCCCGGAAAAAAGGGGGGGAAACGAAAAAATTTTTTTAACCCGGGGGGGGGGGGGGGGCCCTTGGGGGGGGGCCCCCCGGAAGGGCCCAAGGGGGTTTTTTTGCCCCCC